GGGCCTGTTTGAGCATCTGCAGCACTGGAATAAGAGGAACCATTGTGGGGTGTTTCTGAGGCTCACAGGGCTAGTCCCCCACAGAGTGCTCAGGAGCCATAGCTGCCGCAGGGATCATCGTCCCCATCACTGCCTCCCTGCATCTCCTTCCTCTAGACCTCCTGCCCCCTGAGGTCTGCAGTCTCCTGAACCCAGCAGCCATCTACGCCAACAACGAGATCAGCCTGCGTGACGTTGAGGTCTACGGCTTTGACTACGACTATACCCTGGCCCAGTATGCAGACGCACTGCACCCCGAGATCTTCAGTGCTGCCCGTGACATCCTGATCGAGCACTACAAGGTGAGACGGGGGTCCTTGCCACCAACACGCCCAGGGCCTGGAGGCCAGCCAGACCCACCTTGGCCTAAGCTCAGGGCTGAGTCGTGGGGCTTCCCTGGCCCTTTTGCCTGGCCACTGCCCTGGGCAGGTGGCTGGATTGACCGCCTGGGGTGGCCGCCAGTCAGCAGGTCTGGCAGGGTTATTGGCTTAGGCCTGGCCGCTTTCCCCCTGCAGTACCCAGAGGGGATTCGGAAGTATGACTACAACCCCAGCTTTGCCATCCGTGGCCTCCACTATGACATTCAGAAGGTGAGTGGCTGGACCTGTATAGGGGCTCCCTCCTTGGCGTCCTCTTGGTATGGTCATTACCCCTTAATACCATCCAGCTGGGGTTCTGGCATGGGCTGAAAGAGGCTGGCTTGGGGCCGTGGTGAAACTGCCTCCTCACCGTCTGTCCTGCCTCCCTGACGCCCCCAGAGCCTTTTGATGAAGATTGACGCCTTCCACTATGTGCAGCTGGGGACAGCCTACAGGTCAGTTGGCTCTGCCCTGACCCCACCCCCGCCCCACCCTACACTGCTGTTTCTGGCTCAGGACTACCTTGGACTGATGGTATCTTGGGCCTGCTCAGGGGCCTCCAGCCTGTGCCAGATGAGGAAGTGATCGAGCTGTATGGGGGCACCCAGCACATCCCACTATACCAGATGAGTGGCTTCTATGGCAAGGTACTCTATATCCCAGCAGCCAGCCTGCCCCATGGACATGTGCCCAAGTCCCAAGGCAGATTTGGAGCCCTCATCTCCAGCACTGAAGGGGGTGGGGCCTCAAAGGGTGTCTGAGACAATGGCCCCCTCCCCAGGGTCCCTCCATTAAGCAGTTCATGGACATTTTCTCACTGCCGGAGATGGCTCTGCTGTCCTGCGTGGTGGACTACTTCCTGGGCCACAGCCTGGAGTTTGACCAAGCACACCTCTACAAGGATGTGACGGTGAGGATGCTGGGCTTGCCCTCAGATGGCAGGGAAAGCTAAGTCCAGCCACAGCAGGACAGGCCTGCATGGGCCCTGCTGCACCCTCATTGTCCTCCACCGCCCCCAGGACGCCATCCGAGACGTGCATGTGAAGGGCCTCATGTACCAGTGGATTGAGCAGGACATGGGTAAGGGTGGATAGAAGCCCTGCCGTGGCCAGCCTGAGCAGGTGGCAGAGCTGGCCCTCACAGACCCATCTGCCCCATTAGAGAAGTACATCCTGAGAGGGGACGAGACGTTTGCCGTCCTGAGCCGCCTGGTGGCCCATGGGAAACAGCTGTTCCTCATCACCAACAGTCCTTTCAGCTTCGTGTGAGTCCAGCCCCTGTGGACGGAGGGACAGCAGGGCCAGGGCTCTGGGTGGGGAGGGCAGGCACAGAGCTGCCCTCAGACTACTTGCCACCGGAACCTCCTCCGCACAGAGACAAGGGGATGCGGCACATGGTGGGTCCCGATTGGCGCCAGCTCTTCGATGTGGTCATTGTCCAGGCAGACAAGCCCAGCTTCTTCACTGACCGGCGCAAGTATGGGCATGGTGGGGGTCACAGGGTCAGGGAAGGGGAATAGAGGCCTCCCCCCAGTGAGGGAATTGAAGCAGGACGCCAACCTGGCGTTTGCCCACTGCCCAGTGTGGCTTGGGGTGGGAACACCCCCTTGCTGGCATGGGTCCACTTGAGCAGGTGGGCCTTTATGGAGGAGGGATGGGGGTTGTCTGGCCCATGGCCCAGCCACAGACTGGAAGTCAAGCCCTTTACCTGCACCCCAGGCCTTTCAGAAAACTCGATGAGAAGGGCTCACTTCAGTGGGACCGGATCACCCGTTTGGAAAAGGGCAAGATCTATCGGCAGGTAAGGTCCATCTGGGGAAAGCAGCACATGGTGGGGGCATGGGGCCTAGCTAGGGCTCCAGGCTGTGCAGAGGCAGCCTCTGAGGAAGCAGCACAGCTCCTTGGCCCTGAGCAGCCTCACACAGGCAATGGCTGGCAGGGAGCAGGTCTGGGTGGCCTGGAGAGCTTGACCTCTGGGTCAAGCTGCCTGGCTTTGAATTCCAAACTCCACTACTCAGCAGAGGGAGCCTAGCCTGGTTGTCTGACCTCTGTGCCTTGCTTCCGTTGTCTGCAAAAGAGGTGTAATACTCTCTACTGAAGCTGTGATATAAAGCCCTCAGAATGGCCAGTGGGCCAGGTGCGGTGGCTCATGCCTGTAATCCCAGCAGTTTGGGAGGCCAAGGCTACAGGATAGCTTGTTGAGCTCAGGAGTTTGAGACCAGCCTGGCCAACATGGCAAAACCCCATCTCTACTAAAAATAGAAAAAATTAGCAGGGCATGCACCTTTGGTCTCCAGAGGCTGAAGTGGGAGGATCACTTGAACCCAGGAGTTTGAGGCTGCAGTGAGCTGTGATCACACCACTGCACTCTAGCCTGGGCAACAATGCGAGACCCTGTCTTCAAAAAACAAGAATGGTCAGAGATCATGAAATGCCTGATAAATGATGTCATTTCTTGGGGCTGAGCACTCTGCTGCAGCCAGAACAAGTCTGGTTGGGGACAGCTCATTGGGTTCTCTAGAGAAACTCCTCCTTCCTACCTGGCTAGGAAAATGAGAGGGACTGGTGTTGAGGTGGGACTGGGTATCTATGAGCAGGCAGTGATTAAGGTTTCGCCCTGGCTGGAATGCAGAAATCCTGGCTGAGCTGGGCTTCTTCAGGCTAGGGGTTCTAAAGGCCTTGGGGCTGGGGCAGGGGGAAGCCAGCAGCTGGCCAGGGGAGCAGTGTGGGGGTGACCAATGCCCAGGCCTGGCCTGCAGGAAACATTCCCACCCTCTCAGCCCTGCCCACTGCTCTGCCTGCCACCCTTCTGCACCCAAACTCTCCACAGCCCTCGGGCCCAGGTGTGTCCCATCAGCTCTGAGGGCTCACTCTCCCTGTCTTGGCATCCAGCCTCAGCTGAAGAGGTCATGCACCTTTATAGGAAACACATGACTTTCTTCCCGGAGCAGCTTTCAGGCAGTTCTTTATGCCCAATATTCTGAAGCTGCACCTTACACTGTATGTTGGATCCTGCCTGTTACTACAAGTCTTTTCCCAGTCTCCTGCCCCTTGAGACTCTCTCTCTTGGTCTATGCCCTTGAGACTCTCTCTCTTGGTCTATGGCCTGACTGGGCCTCTGCCCCTCCACTTGAACTTAGTTCAGCAATTGGCTTCTCCCACACCACCTGTTTCCCCCAGCGCTTCCACTTCTGAGGCTTTGGATGCACAGACTGCTCCAAGAACTGTGCTTGCTGGGTGTCAGTTCCTCTCGCTTTTGGGGTGTGGACTCCTGCCCTGGTAGCTGCTGCCTGAGCACTACTCCAGTGATTCCTGCTCTGGGCCTCTCAGTTTCTGCCGCCCTGTGAGCTTCCCCAGTTACATGTGGGCCTGGCTAAGTATCTCCATCTTTCACCGGCTCCAAGATGCTGGTGGCCCTGGTGAGGTCTGCCATTGGTCTGCCAGGTCCCTCTGCACTGAGGCAGAGGAGGCCAGCAAGGACTTCAGGGCTGCAGAGCCTTCCCTGCAGTTTCTTCCTTACAAACAGGGATTCAATCCCTAGCCTGGGGTATGTGTGAGACCACAGGGAGCAGAGCCTCAAGGCATGGGCACCATGCCAGGCCTATAGGGCACCTTCCTGCAGCAGGCAGAATCCCCTTCCCAAGTAGGAGGGGAAAGTGACAAGGACCAGGGCCCAGGGAGGGAGCAGCAAGGCCACAGGAAAGGGCAGCCGGCATCCAGCTGGATTTGGGCTGCCTCTGGGGATTTGGGAGGGAGGACTGGTGGAGGACAAGGCACACTTGGCTCAGCAGCATTCCCCTCCTCTCCCTAGGGAAACCTGTTTGACTTCCTGCGCTTGACGGAATGGCGTGGCCCCCGCGTGCTCTACTTTGGGGACCACCTCTATAGTGACCTGGCGGTGAGGGAGGCAGGGCTGGGCTGCAGGCGGGGAGGGCCAGGAAACCCCACCCCCACCCCCGCAACTGGTGCTGAGCCCAGTTCCGCCGCCCCACCCACCAGGATCTCATGCTGCGGCACGGCTGGCGCACGGGTGCCATCATCCCTGAGCTGGAGCGTGAGATCCGCATCATCAACACAGAGCAGTACATGCACTCGCTGACATGGCAGCAAGCACTCACGGGGCTGCTAGAGCGCATGCAGGTGTGGGCCGAGGTGGCTGTGGGAGGGCCAGGGCAGTAGCCGCCTGGGTGCATGCACCCAATGCACACCTTGTGTCCCCAGACCTATCAGGACGCGGAGTCGAGGCAGGTGCTAGCTGCCTGGATGAAAGAACGGCAGGAGCTGAGGTGAGCAGGTGGGGCCAGGGCAGGAGTCCCGGCCAAGCCACCACCCCAGGCCCACCCCTCAAGTGCATCGTGTCTCCCTTGCCAGGTGCATCACCAAGGCCCTGTTCAACGCGCAGTTTGGCAGCATCTTCCGCACCTTCCACAACCCCACCTACTTCTCGAGGCGCCTCGTGCGCTTCTCTGACCTCTACATGGCCTCCCTCAGCTGCCTGCTCAACTACCGCGTGGACTTCACCTTCTACCCGCGCCGCACGCCGCTGCAGCACGAGGCGCCTCTCTGGATGGACCAGCTCTGCACTGGCTGCATGAAGACCCCCTTCCTTGGCGACATGGCCCACATCCGCTGAGGGTGCCTTTATTGTCCGGGACAGGCCCCCAGCCCCTCCCACCCTGTCCACCCTGGGCGTCCACCCAGACAAGCAATAAAAGTGGTCTTCTCCCTACACGTGCCTCTGCTTTCAGCCCCAGTCTCATCACTTGACTGTGAGGATCCTCTGGGTGTCAGGGAAGTCCTCCTCCAGGAGTGAGTCCTAGGAAAACAGGGCTGTTGGTGGCAGGCGTGACCGGGGCCTGGGCCCATCCCACATCCGCCACACTTCCATGCTCACATGGAAAGGTTCACAAAAGGTGTCACTGCCAAAGACAGGGTTGGGGACAGAGACCAGGGTGGGGTTGGTCCCTTCTTGCCACGGTGAGAAGTCATCAGCAGCATCCTCTTCCGCCTGGGAGCAGCAGAGGGGTGAGTGGCAAGGCACCTTGAGCGAGATCCAAGGATCCGCCATGGCAGCCCCAACCCAGCCCTACCTGGAAGGCAGAGAAGCCAAAGCCCGTGGGCTTGCCTTGGGCACGGAGGTAGAGAGCTCCAGCCACCAAGCCAAGCAGTGCTCCAGCAGCAAGCACAGCCCCCACGCCTGCCGCCACAGGTGGGGCTTTGGGCGCCAGCACTGCCTGCTACAAACAGGGAGAGTACTGACCTGATGGGATCTGTCCCACCACCTTCCCCAGGCTCACAGGTTGTGGGGATGCCAGGAAGGGCTCTGCCTCCCCAGTCCCCAACTTACAGGCTGTGGGGGTGCCAGGAGGGGGCTGGCCAGAGCATGGATGATGCCATTGAAGGCCATGATGTCCCACACGATGACATGGCTAACCACAACTGTCCCCGGGGCCTGCAGGGAGATCAGAGTCAAGCCCATGGTGAGCAAGGGCCAGGGCCAACAGGGTGGGACAGCTGCCAGACTCACCACAGGGGCCCAGGAACTGTTGTCAGGGCCTGCATCACTGATGATGAGGCTGAGGCCTGAGTGGGCTGGAAGCAACTTCCCCTGGCTGGCGTTGGCACTTAGGAGGGTGGCGTTGGAGGCGTGCAGCTCCAAGTCTGGGCCACTCAGCGTCTGTGGGCAGAGCAAGGCCTGTTGGCCTGGGCCAGATGGAGATGGCCAATTCGGGCTCTGCTCTGCCCACACCCCTGCTGGTTACCATGTTGTCCACAAAGCCTTCATTGACAGGGACAAAGAGTGTCTTATACGTGAGTTCATCATCCAGGAAGTCCAGGAAGTCGAGACCCCGCTGGGTGGCATTGGCATAGCCCAGTAGCATCTGGCATGGTGGAAAGACAGAACTGTGAGCAGGCTCCCTCCTCGGGGATCCCAGCACCCTCCACGCCCAAGGCTGGGCCCCACACACCCCATAGAAGGTGGAGAAGTTGGCAGTGGCAGCCAGCACATCCAACAGCTTCCCATTGCATGTGCTGATCCCATCACCCACGAAGCCATCTCGGCATCGGCAGGCCACATCTGCAGGAAAGGCAGGTCAGTGGCACAGCGGATTGGTGGGAAGGGGCAGAGCCGGGGAAGTACGGTTTGGTGGGGTGGACGCACCTTGCACGCGGAAGCAGTAGGCATCCCAGCGCTCCGAGAGGTTCTTGCGGGCACCCAGGCTGACTATGCCCACCCGACCATTGCCACAGTCCGCCACAGGGAAAACCACAGGGTGGGCAGCAGAGCCGTTGGCCAGCCAGCCCATGAGGCACAGGTGGAAGCCCAGCTGTAGGAACAGGAGGGGATGCTGAGACCCAAGACCCAGTCAAGGCCTCCCCCAACACTTGGCCCCAACTTCTGGGCCCCACACACCTGCTGGGCAGCAGAGAGCTGAGGGAATGAAGCAAGGATGGCTCCCTGGGCTTTGCATGCCGCCTCAGCCTCTGAAAAGTTCAGACCATAAGGGCCGCTGGTGGCCTGGAGGTGGAAGACACCAGCCCGTTTCTCTGCAGAATAGAGGGGTGCATGGTCAGCTGACCAACTCTGAGGAATGAAATGGGTACTGGGAGTGGGCAGGGGACACACCCTGGAAATGCAGATCAGTGCACACGGCATCTGAGTGGCAGGGGGGTGGCCGGCCCAGGCAGCGGTCCACAGGCGGTTCCAACTCCTCCAGACACTGCAGTCCATCGCCTACGTAGCCTGCGTGGCACTCACAGCGCCGTGTGTTCTGGGGTTGGGGAGAGCAGTGGGCGCCCTTCCGCCCTCAGAGGTCGGAAGGTCTGCCAGGCCTCCCCACCCTGGCTGCTCGGCTCCCCAACCTGCTCACCAGGCCGGTGCTCAAGCAGTCAGCATGCTCGCTGCAGCCCCCGCGGTGGCCATCTGTGCAGGGGTTGCGGGCCCGGCAGCTCCAGCCATCACCCTCATAGTCGGGCAGGCAGGTACAAGTGACCGCTGTTCCTACCTGGCTGCAGTTGGCGTGCTCACTGCAGCCACCATGCCCGTCCTGGCACAGGTCTGCCACTGAGGGCAGGGAGGCAGTGGTTGGACCCAGTGACTGCAGGGGAGTGGAGGCCTCCCACCTCCATGTCCCCGCCCACCTGCTTACCTGTACACACGCGGCCATCCCCTTCGTAGCCCAGGCTGCACTCGCAGCTGTTGCCTGCACGGCACACAGCCTTGGGTGCACAGGGTGGGGTACACACAGGCTGCAGCTCTGTCCCCGAGGGCCCAGCCCCCAAAACCAGGTTAGTAGTTGCCTTACTGGCCTCTGCCCATTCCACCCACCCTTGGTGCCTTTACTGATGTGTGCACATGTACACAAGTGTGCAGGGTGGGCACAAGCACAGGGCTACTCACCCAGTTGCACCTCACAGTGTGACCCAGTCCAGCCTTCATCACAGAAGCAGGAGCCAGAGCCCCCAAGACCCTCATCACAACGGCCATGCACAGTGCAGCGGCAGGCTGGGGAGAGGGACAGGCAGGAAGATAAAGATTGGCCCACAAGGGCCAAAGGAATCGGGCCATGGGGCAGGCAGGGACGGCCCACCTTGACAATGGGGCCCAAAGGCACCCGGTGCACAGAGTTCACAGGCTGTCCCAGCAAAACCTGAACGGCACAGACACTGCCCACTGCCACTCATGCCGTCCATGCACATGCCACGGTCACTACAAGGGCTGCTGGGGCCGCCAGGGCAAGCTGGGGATGAGGTAGGAGAAGTGAGGTGGGGCCAGGGGCTCTCACCAGGACCCCCATACATGTACCTCCAGCCTAGCCCTGCCATCTGTCCCCGACCCATGTCCCCACACTGCTAAGATCCCTCCAGGCCTGTGTCCTGGAGAGCATCCAGACTCCCCAGCACTCCTCCCCAGGTTCTGCACCGTCCACACTCCCACCCTGCCTCTCCCAGCACTCCCGCTAGTAAAATCTACTCACCACCCAGAGCTCCCCAGCCCTGGATGCCCCAACACCCTCTCAGGGACAATGGCCAGAGCTGTGCCTGGGCTCTCTTGGGGAACAGAGGAGCCAGTCAACAGTGTCTGCAATGCTCACCTTGGCACTCACTGCCATAGTGACCAGGGCAGCAGCTGGGTTTCCAGGTGGTGGTGACACAATTGCGGTGGCAGCCCCTGCCCAGGCCTTGGGGCCTAGCCCAAAGGCTGTGCTGGACCCAGACGCTGTGTAATCCCAAAGAGCGCAGCGGAGGGGACGTCCAGAACTTCGGGTACAAGCGCCAGCAGGCCTCAGGGCTGCCCTGGGCCAAAGGAGTCAGGCCACAGTTGGGTGGTTCTGAGTTTGGTGGTCCTTGGGCTCTGCCTGCCCCCACCCCACCACCCCCACGCAGCCCCTAGCCCTGTACCTGCTCCTGTGACCCCTCAGGACAGGGTGGCTCCAGCCCACAGATGCTGCAAGTGTTCTGGAAGGGAGGGAAGCCAACACAGCAAAGTCAGATGGACGGACACCACAGGGGTGGGCTTCTACCCGTCTGCCTCTGGCCTCCCTCACCAGTCGCAGGGGCCGGGTCTCAAAGTGGTCACAGCGAGCACCAAGGCCAGGTGGCTCCAGCAGCTGGTCGATGCCGTAGGCCAGGCCACCCTCAAAGGGCAAGTGCCGCTGCACAATGCGGGCATCATCCTCACCCACCATGAGCTCACCCTGCAAGGAGAGAATGTGAAGTATGCGGGGGTCACAGGCGCACTCCAACTCCACTGCCAGGGCCCCTGCCTCCTACTCCCCTCATCCAAGCCCTCTCCCCAGACTCACGGGCCGCGTTCGACTGCAGGAGAAAGAGATGGGGGTCCCATGCATGGTTCGAAGTGGGCCCAGGTTGGGCAGGTCAGATGCCAAGGCCTGAGCAGGTGGAATCATGATTGGAGGTGGAGAGGCAGGGTGAGCTGCAGACAGTGAGGACCAAAGTTGGAGGCTGTACCCACCTCGACATTGCGGATCATGTGGCCCCGCAGAATGGCTGCTAGCTTGTCACGGTGGTCCTCATGGTACAGCCAGGCCTGGCGATCCGGAGGCAGGGCTCGAAAGGCGGCGTCTGTGGGCCACAGCATTGTGAAGGGCCTATGGGATGCCTCTCGAAGCAGGGGCAGGAGGCTGGCCACCTGGTGGAGTGCAGCAAAGGTGTGGCAGTCACAGCCCAGAGACTAGTGAGCAAAGGCAGGGAGCTGTGCCACAGAGCAGGAAGGGGCTCCACACTCACCCACTCTCATCTGTGACCATCCCAGGCAGGAATGTGTGTGCACACATCTCAACTGTGCACACTGCTATCAGAAATGCTGGCACACATAAGCACACCCATGTGCTCACCCTGGGGTGCTCATGCACACAGATGTGGCTTGTGCACACGTGAATTCACACAGGCTCGCATGGGACAGTGGGCACACAGGTGGGCATGCATGCACAGGTACGCATACACACTTGCACACACTTCCATGTGCATATGTGTTCACAATGACAGGCCCACACGGGAGCAGTACCTTCAGGAGGCCGCTGAAGATCTTGTAACCGAAGCCCTGGGCAGCAGCAGTGACATTTCTCTGAGGAAAGGCTCTCATAAACAGCTAGGCCAGGCGGGAAGGGAGGATCCCAGGCCCCCAGCTGCCTGCCTTCCACCTCCCAGGCCCGTGCCTGTCATACCCTTGGGATGGGTTCATCATCCGGCTCCCAATGCAGCGCGTCGGGGGGCAGCAGGACACGGTCAATGAAGTGCAGGATGCCATTAACGGCCTCATGGTCGCTGCTCACTACACGCGCGAAGTCATTGAGGTATATGCTGCCCTGGGGGCGGGGCACAGGGCTGATGAAGCAGATGGGTGGGGTGCTTGGAAGCTGTCAGGGCCTGAGGTGTGGGCGGAGCCTGGGTTGGGCGAGTCTTAGGGTGCAGGCAGTCCCGGGTTCGGGACCAGGACAAGAGGTGGGCGGGGTCTGGGGCGGAGTCAGGGCAGGGGGCGGGACTCAGTCCTCAGAAGGACGCAAGGGTGCTGGGCAGGACAGGCCCACAGCAGTGGGCGAGGGCCAGGTCGCGGGCGGGGTCTGGGGCTGGACTCAGCTCTGTCTCCGCTAGGCCCTCCTGGTTGGGGGAGGTGAGGGTTGTGACTGCGTGGGGCCCGGGTACAGGCGCGCAGGGGCGGGGCAGGCCAGAACCAGGGCTCACCTCCCTCTCGCTGAAGCGCAGTGGGTGCCCCGAGAGCGCTGTGGCGTACCCCTGCTCCAGCAGGTCCTCGCTCCGCAGCCGCCGGCAGCCAACCACGTGGTAGCGAAACACCAGCTGGCGATGAGCGCGAATCCGGGCCAGCTCATCCTGGGACGGAGTCGCGAGGGGAGTGGGGTCCCTGACTGTCGCCTCAGCCCAAGCAGGGCCACCACCAGAGCGCCCAGCCCTGCCCAGCGTCGCTCTGGGGGCTGCATACCTGCGACAGGTTGCTCATTAGATCTGCGTGCGGCACAAAGATGGTGAAAGGCCCATCGCCCTTGAGCTCCTTGTATTCCTAAGGGAGGCAGCAACAGCAGTGAGTGGAAGGGGAGAAGCCTGAGGCCTCCATGGATCTCCTGGGGAAGACTTGGACTCAGAGAGAACAAACCAGCCAACCCCCTGACCAGATGGGAACAGAAGCCCAGAGACGGGTGGGACTTGCAGGTCACAGAGGCCCAAGCTGGCCACTCACCAGGAGGCGGAGGCTGAAGAATGAGGCATGCTTATCCCTCAGGAGCTCCTGGGGGGGCGAGGGTCAGCTCAGATTTGGGGCAGCCCCCATTCAGGGCCTGGTGCCTGTCCCAGCACCTGCAGCCCAAGGTCTAGCCAAGGCAGACATGAGGAAAGGAAAGCCTCGGGGTCTGAGTTGGGGTCAGGGCTGGTTTCATGGGTCATAGCTGGGGCCAGGCCCAGGTACAGTCAGAGTTCAGGCTCAGTGTCATGGTCAGGGCCAGGATCAGGATCAAATCGGGGCTTTACCAAGACCACGGGTCAGGCCTATGGGGCACAGCCAAGACCAGATCAGGGGTCTGACTTGGGCATCATTACCAGGCCGACTCGGGCACGGCAGGTGAGGCCGTCCCCCACGGTGTTGGCTGTGTCACAGGTACATGTCCTCTGGCCATCCCCTGTGCTTTTGCAGGTGGCATATGGGCTGCAACCTCCATTGTTCTGAGGCAGGGACAGGAGAGGAAGGTATCAGTGGCTTCCAGGACTTCTCTATCCCAGTCAGCCCTGTGAAAGAGGCCATGAAGGCCCCTGCTCAGCCCCCCAGATCCCATTTGCTACTGATCAAACTTGAGCTTCAGGGGAGCATAGCCCACCCTGCAGAGGCCCTTAGGACCCTGCTGGAGGTGAGGAGGGCTAGTTCCTGCCTCAGTCCCCTCTCCTTCTCCTCAGCGAAGGAGGGCGGGACCAGGTGCCTGACCTTAGAGCAGGGGTCCAGGAGCTCGCAGGTCCGGATGCCATCCCCACGGTAACCCTCGCGGCAGCTGCAGGAGACCTGTCCCCAGTCTTGATCAGTGGGGCTGCTGGGAGCCAACAGCTGGCCAGCACCCCATGTAAAAGGGTCACCCCCTCCCCGGGCCTGCCCTGAAGGGAGGCCCCATCCTGTGAGGGCATGGCATGACCCCCCAAGTCCAACCCTGCCATGCTGACCTGCTGGGGGCCAGTGGGGATGCACTCAGCATGAATGTGGCAGCCCCCGTGGTGAATGAGACAGCTGTTAATTTCTGGGGGAAGAGACACTGGGATGGGGGTGGCCCTTAGAGGACCGCCTTCATCTGTCCTCTGTACCATCTGTCCTACCCCCTCCTCTCTCAGCAGCCCCAGTCCCCACAAGTCCCACATGCCCCTCAGCCCTTCCTAATCTGACTCAGATCACTGAAACCAGACCCCTAGCCCCACATACAACCCAGGTTGGGGGCCTCATCTCACCCTGGCACAGCTCCCCGTCGCCCATGTAGCCATCCTGGCAGGTGCATGTCCGCTGCCCAGGTGCCACCTTGGTACAGTTGGCATGAGGGGAGCAGCCTCCATGGCCATGGGCACAGGGGTCCACCTCTAGGGGGAGATGGTGCCAGAGAGTCCTTAGGAGTAGGCACGGGGCCAGGGGCAGGGCAGGAGAGGAGGGCATGAGAGAAAGGAAAAGGTCAGAGGGAATCCCAAGATGGGACAGTGAGGGGGGCTGGGCCTAGAGGAAATGAAGGGGGCTCTGTGGGGACAGCCACCCCAAAAGTTCAGAGAGGGCTCTGGGTGTCCATGTGGCTGGACCTGAACAGAAGACGCCATTGCCGGAGTATCCCGCAGCACAGGCGCAGGTGGAGGCTCCGGCCGAGTCCTGCACGCAGCTGGGAGAGGTGGTAGTGGCTGAGCCCATGCTTGTCCAGCCGTGCCTTGACCCCCAGGCTCCCCGCCACTCACCCACCTGCCTCAGGCTGGGCCTACTCACTTGGCGTTGGGGTCGCACTTCCTAGGGCACTGAGGACTGGTGATTTCTGGGGGGCAGGAGGATGACTCTGGTCATTCAGACCCAGGAACAGCCTCCTCAGTAGCCACCTGCCCCCTCCCCCTTGGGACCCACTCACTCTGGTCACAGCGGAGGCCCTGCCAGCCCACGTTACAGACACAGCTTCCGTCCCCTTGCAGCCCCTCCTGGCACAGCCCATGGGCACAGTCACACACTGCAGTGGGATAAAGGAGAACAGGAGTTTCCCAGTGCCTCCATCTTGTCCCGGCGGGGGTCTCCAGGCTGCTCTCTGCTGCCAGGAAGCCCACCCCCACCCCTCCCCAGTCCTCACCTCCGGTGCAGTTGGGCCCGTAGCGGCCCAGCTCACACATTTCACAGGCCGTTCCATGGAAGCCCTCATGGCAGTGGCACTCCCCGCTGCCCAGGAACCTGTCCTGGCACTGCCCATGGCCCGAGCACACCCCCCCCAGGCCTCCTGGGCATGGCTCACACAGCGTGCCAAAGAAACCAGGACAGCAGTCCGGCACCTGTTGGTGTTGGGGGTGGAAGAGAGGGTGAGAGAGGCCCAGCAAGGTGTCGGGGGAAGGGGAACGGGGGCATCTCGGGGCCACAGAGCCACGGAGCAAAGCCCCTCAGAACCCCAGACCCAGGGATGAGCAACTCAGAGCCGAAAGAGACACAGAGATGCCTCCTAAAACCCTCCCTCTGGCAGGGTGGGGAAACTGAGGCTCAAGCAAGGAAGGGCTGCACCTAGATCCCACAGTGAGGGGCCGAGCCAGGCCCAGTTGCTGCCTCTGGGGTTTGGCTGATGGAGTCAGCTCCAGACTGCCCTTTCTTCCTCTCCCGGTCTCCACTCCCTCCCCCGGGGGAGTGGACACGGGGACAAACAGTAGCCCTCTGACTTCAGACCTCTCTCCCCTCTCCTTCTTCTGAGTTCTGGCCTCACCCTAGTCCCAGCCCAGTTTCTGCCCTTAAGATCCAAACTGGGCTCCCCACTGGGCCCCACCCACTCCCACCTCCTTCTCTCCGGACAGGCTTGGCGGGGACTTCAGGGCAAACCTGGATCTTCTTGGCACATGTGTAAGAGCAGCCCCGGGAGAAGGAGAAGCCAGATCGGTAGACACAGCTCTTCCTGGGTGTGTCCTGGAAATGGGGACAGGCAGGAGGGGTCAGCCAGTGGCTCAGGCAGGGGCAGGGCAATGAATGGGGAGACAGACAGATGGACTACAGGTGTCAGGCAGATGAGCAGAACAGCAGAAGGGTCAGAGAGGGACCAAGACAGGCAGACCGATGGGACAGGGCAGACAGGATCCAAGCCTCGGGCTGCAAGTCTGAGGGAACCTCCCCTCAGTAGAGCCATGCCAGCCCTCCAGGCCTCTATGGGGACATCAGCCACCCAGTTCCCTGTGCCTGGAGGCCTGGGCCAAACAAAGTTGGGCTGGAGGGTGAGGGGACTGGGCACCTTGGAAGAAGTGAGGGCAGGCAACGCAGGGACAGAGCTACGCTAAGCCCAGTCTCACCTGCAGCTGGAAGCCCTGAGTGCAGCGGAATTTCCTGGTGCAGTTTACACATTTCTCCTAGAGGGAAAAAAGGTGGGTTATCAGGCAGTCCAGGCCTGGATCCCTGCCCTTCCTCCAGGACAGGCTGACCCATGCGCTCCTCCCCACCAGTCAGGCCAGCCAGCAGCTCCCAGCTCTGAACTCCCGTGCCGGCCTTCCTCTGGCCCCAGCCTCTCACCCTCAGCGCCTCAGCGTGGCTGTGCAGGCAGCGACTTGAGCCCACCGTCAGGACCCCTGACAGACCAATCAGCGAGCGGCCAGGGGCCTCCAGCATGGGACCTTCCAGTGGCACATGGTTCACCTCAGGCTGGGGAGAGGGATGGAGGCTGAATCCACCCACCCACCACCCTCACCTAGCAGGGCTAGAAGGTCAGGCGGTACTCCAGAGCCGGGGGGCTCCCTGGAGCAGAGGTTGGAGGTTGGAGGCTCACAGCTGGGGACACTCCGAAGGGAAGGGATCTTCAGGGATAGGGGCCCAGGCTAGGGTCTCCTTGCTCCCTGACCCCCAAACCTGGCCACTGTGGTTGTAGAAGACGATCCAGTGGGCAGGGCCCAGGAGGGAGTTTCGGTGTCCACCCTTCCGCAAGGTTTCCATGGAGAGGGCCTCCCCCAGGACCACATGGTGCCGCACCGTGTCTGCGTCCTGGGAGAGAAGGAGAGAAGTCAGGGGACTCCAGGATAACAAGTGCCCTGGACAGCATGCCGCACCCACCGTGTCCCTTCATGGTGGGATGGGAGGCTCGCCCTCTGTGCCTTTGCCCTCCCCGCCATTGCCCCAGCCCCATGGCCTCACCAGGTGGCTGCTGTTGCCCTGAGCCTCCAGGGAGCGGTTGGTGGGCACAAAGATGGTGTAGGCAGTGGCGGCCTCAATCTGGGACACCAACCTATGGCGCTGGGGATGGGGTGGAGGTCAGGGATGGGCATATTAGTTGTCAGTCCTGACACTGGGAGCCAACCAGCTTCCTCTGGACCTGGGGCACAATGTCCCCTGAGCAGGCATGTCCCCTCTTGCCAGCCTTCCTTACCTGCAGCAACTCCCGGAAGAGGCTGAAGGCAGGCACCAAGTCCAGCTGCTGCAGCAACCCCTGCCCACCGGGCACATCCCCTCGGGAGGGTAGTAAGACCTGGTACAGAGCACAGGGCCTGGTCAGCATGTCATTGCTTCACGGCCTGCCTGCGAGGTTCCCTGCACACACCCTCCTCCTGCTGTACCTGGCTGAGGATGTGTAGGACACCGTTGGTGGCAAGGAGGTCAGCCACGTCCACGCTGGCATTCTGCACCCAGACCCTCTGGAAGGCAGCAGCAGAGCTTAGCCACAGGTGGGCACAGATAGACCCTTAAAGGTGGGACAGCCCCAACAGAGAGACTGCCGGGCACACAGGCACCCACAGGTGGTCCGCAGGCTGGCCCATGAGCTGGGTCCTGCACAGAAGCTCCTCCCAGGAACTGACTCTGATCCTGAGTCAGACTCAGGATCCACCAGCTGGGCACACAGACTCTCCCCAGGGTCCGTGGTGAGAGGGGCGCTTGTGCATGTGCAGACTCAGATGGACAGACAGCCCCTGCAGGCAGTCACTCCTGGCCCAGAGACTCAGTGCCGATCAGCAATGCGTCCTGAGCACATCCTTTGAGCCTGGCTCTGGGCAGGGTGAGGGGACCCCAATCTCATCCCATGGGGCCCCTGATGTGGGACAGCCTGTAGCCACTCAGGCTCCCTTCCACGCCCCACCTGTCCCCTTTTCTGCCCAGAGTTCACCACATACCCCACTAATGTTGCGAATCTCCCAGCGTGTGGTGGGGTTCAGGGTGGCCACTTCCTGCCCACCCAGCCGGGCAAGCTCCTCCTCGAAGAGTGCACTCTGGAGAAAATGGGCCCTGACAGGGCACAGTTTGGGGGGGTCATGGAATCAGGTTAGTGTAACTTACAGAGACCTTTGGGACTGGGCCCACCCCAAGGGGTGAGTGCCTGCCAGGCTGAGGACTCGCTAGGGAGGGGCTGGGTCCCGCAAGGAAGCCCCCTCCCACAGCCTGGCAATGGCGGCCCCACCTGACCAGGCTTGGCAGCATCCTTGGCTGCAACCAGAAAGCTCGCTCCTCAGGGTTCAGCTGACGGATGGCAGCCTCGGAGGGCACCAGGGCTGTGACTCGGCCATCGGCAGGAAGCGTGATGCCAGCACTCTGCATGCACACCACGAGTAGGGGCAGGAGGAGTGAGGAAGGCAGCCATCATCTTCAGATTCCCTGCTCTAGGCTCCAGGCCTGCCCCCAACCTCCCACTCTTGGAGATGTTATATGGCACCCCTCCATCCAGGCAGGCCTCCTGGATTTAAACCCTCAACCCCCGCATTCTGCCCTGTCCTACCTTAAACCACTGGTAGAAGATGGAGAAGTGGGCATTTGCCTCCAGCTCCTAAGGGAAGGGAAAAGGCTGAGGTCACAGGACCAAGGGCAAATTCAAGCCCTTCCCCACCACGGATCCTGAGCAGTGCCCCTTTCCCACCTGAGGTGCTGGAGAGGGCTCCTCCCCAAGCACAGGGAAGACAGAAAACGAGTCTGAGCACCCCTTACCCGGAAGATGTCTCCATAACAGCTGAAGCCATCACCCCCAAAGCCAGGGGGGCACGTGCAGACCCGCTGACCTCCCCCCACTGCCCGGCAGGTGGCCTGGGGTGGGAGTGAGAAAGGGCCTCCATTCAGATCCAGATGGCAGCTGGGTCCCTCCCTCCCCCATCTCTCTGCATGTCCAGCCACCCAGCCCCAGCCTCAGCCCCTGCCCCTTGCTCTGCAGCCACCCAGTCTGTGTTGGTGGCACTCCTTCGGTGTGCCTAGCCCTGCTCTCCAGGATTACTGGGCATTTGACACGAGCATTACCCGTGCCAGGTGGATATGAGGGAGCTCAGGGCTGCGGGAGCACCCAGGAGGCCCTGTATCCTCTGGAGCCAGAACTGAGAGCAGGAGGAGCTGGCCAGGCCCAGGTGCAGCTCACAGAGGCAGGGGTGTGGTAGGGTGGAGCAAGGGCAGGGGACATCGAGGAGCTCAGCGCAGCCAAGGACAATGGAAGCGGGGCAGGAGTGGAACAGAGAGAGGAGGCTGGGCAGGGGCAGGTGAAGCGGGACAGGAGTGACATGGTTGGATTTGAAGTTTAGAAAGATCTTAATCCTGACAGTATACAGAGAGACACCCAGAGATGGGGAAGGAGGGAGAGAGCTGCAGCCTAGGCCCACCCCAGAAAGCCTCCCCAGGGCTCTGAGCCTTGCACTCCCTTACCAGGCCATGGCAGCCACCATTGCCTGCCCGGCAGGGGTCGATGGGGCTGCACTGGTAGCCGTCCCCGGCAAAGCCCAGCTTGCAGGTGCATCGGCTCTGGAGAGGTTAGGAACAGACGGCCTTGTCTCATGATGAGCATCCAACCCTTTCTTCCTCCATTACTTGGCTCTCTCTGGGCACTGCCCCTGGGGAGGCCTGTCCAGAGCCCAGAGGAACTTCTCCCAGCCCTACTCTCGGAGATCTGTGCTCCAGATGGGGAGACAGAGGCCCTAAGGGGAGACTGGCTCTCAGAATGAGTCCACGGAGGTGAGAGCATTGGCAGAGAAGCATCCGTGGAGACTTGGTGCCCCTACACTTGGAGCCTGGGACCCTGCCAGGGCCATTGAGGCTAACAGTTTGTGGCAAGTGGGTAGGCATCTGCCAAGGCTGGCCCCAGGATAGTGGCTCAGATCCCATCTCCACCCCTGCTACTCTACTCAGCTGCTCGGGTCCCCCAACCAAATGCCAGTGCCCCTGGGCTTGTGTACATTGCAGGTGAGTGACCGGTGAGACCCCTCAGATCTTAGGTGCCCTTGTTTGCACGTTGGGGGCATCTCACTGGCACATTCAACACCTCTGTTCTGAATTAAGGCCCTAATGGGGTTTGGAGCTCCAGCTGTTACACCTGTCAGTTCTTACTGCTAAGGCCCCACGTGCTAGTGCCCAGAGGCCACCTTGGAGTTGAGAGGACAGGGAGCCCCACAGGCCTGGCCATGCAGAGGCTGACCCTGACCAGCCAGGCCTGGCCTCCCACTTGGCACGTTAGACAGTCTTCAATGCCTGTCTGAACACTGATTCACCAGTCCCTAAATGCTCCGCATGGAAGGTTCCAGGTTCTGAGCTCCAGTGACTAGATTCAGACACTGCAAAGTTCTGGGGCTGGATTTCCATGAGGCTAAAGTTTTGGGGAGGTCACTCCCATGGGCAGGGGCTCTTCCTGCTTTGCTCAGTGTCATATTCCCTATGTCTAGAACAGGGACTAGCATGGAACAAGTGCCTGATAACACCTGGGAAAGTAATGAGCGGATGGATAAAGAAGCGAATCCCAGATGCCACTACTCAGCATGTCAGCACTGGGTTCTCATCTGCACCTGAGGTTCCAGACCCTGAGCACCTGACTCTGCATTCTGGGAGTCAGATGGGGCAGTGAGAGAGTCCGCGGGAACCAAGGCTCCCGCCCCTTCTCTGCTGCACCTCACCTGCCCGGGGCCCACGTAGCTGCAGAGGGCATCGGCGTGGCAGCCACCTCTCACGTCCAGTTCACACTCATCAATAGCCACACAGACGCGGCCATCCCCACTCCAGCCTTTGTGGCATGTGCAGTGGTGGGTGCCCAGGGACCCAGGAACACACTCAGCCTGTGAGAGCCAGGACAAATAACTCAGGGACACAGGAACGTAGGCAGAGGGCTAGGGCATCCCACCTCCTGCCTCTGGGTCAGAACTCCAGGGAAGGAGCAAGGGGACTGACATTCTCTGAGCAGCCGCCACGGTCCGGGTGGGAGCAGGGGTTGCTGGGTGTGCAGGAGAAGCCATCACCCTCAAAGCCATCAAGACAGCGACATCTGGGGGTGGGTGAAGGAGGGGGCTCCAGTGAGCCTCAGGTGCGAAAGGTCACAGGTGGAGCAGACAGAAGATGTGAGTCCTCACCTGGCAACACCCTCCTGGCTAACACAGCGGGCATGCAGGTGGCAGTGCTGGGCCAGCCCTGTGGGCCCACAGTCCCCCATGGACTCGTTGCAGAACCGGCCGCTGAAGCCGGGGGCACACGTGCCCTGCTGGCACACCCCCCCACTGCCTGGGCGGTTGTCGCAGAGACCGTGGACACAGCCGCAGTCTGTAGGGAGTAGAAGGGAGCAGGGAAACTGAGAAGCAGGAGGCAGGGCTGGCTGGGAGCCAGGATGGATTTGGGGGATATAGGGAGTGGGGCAGCCAGTACAGATTTGACTTTAGGGAGGAAAAATCAGAGGTTATCTCAGACTCAATGGGCAGGCAGATGAAATGTGAGGGGGGTATTCTGAGCTTTCAGTTATCCCATTCTAGTTGCCCAGATCCCAACACCACCATCAGGAAGTTCTTCAGTGTGTCTGGCCTAAGTCCCACATATTTTAAATTAAGCCACAGTTCCCTTCCTGGCATGGGTGAAGCAGACAGCATCTCCTTTCTGTTTTCAAATCTTCCTCCACTCCCCCTGGCCTTCATCCCTCCTCCTGGGGCTTCATTTCCCTTCTTGAGAGCCCCCAGACCCATTTCTAACCAGACCTTTTTTCTCCCTAGGAGATGGCCTGAGCCAGGACCACCCACCTTCCTGGCACTGATCTCCATGCTTGTTTGGGTTGGAGCAGATGTGGCAGGCGATGCCCTTGTAGTCTGGGAAGCAGAGGCAGGCCCCGTTGCCCTGGATCCCATCACTGCACTACAGAGTGAGCAAGAGGCAGGATCAGTCATGGGAAAGGGACTCTACGTCCCTTCTCCCAACACCCCCTCCTTTCATGGGTTGGCTCTGAGCTCTTGCTACCCATGAGAGCTCATCCTGGAAGGGATCTTCAAAATCACTGATGCCACCAAAGACCTATCCCCTAAAAGGCACCTGGCCCTGGAGGTTTTATGAGTGACATTTGCTCAATTCAGAAACACATAACTCCTGTGTTCTATAGCCAGGTGCTAAAGTAACCCTGATGTTACAAAGTGGTAAAAACAGAACACAAAAGAAAACTACTGCCAAGTAGCCTTTTTGGAAATAAATGCCAAAAAAAATCTATCTTATCTATTATTATTATTACTATTATTATTATTATTATTATTTTGAGATGGAATCTCACTCTGTTGCCCAGGCTGGAGTGCAGTGGGGCGATCTTGGCTCACTGCAAACTCCGCCTCCCAGGTTCAAGTGATTTTCCTGCCTCAGCCTCCTGAGTAGCTGGGATTGTGGATGTGTGCCATGACACCGGGCTAATTTTTGTATTTTTAGTAGAGACAGGGTTTTGCCATGTTGACCAGGCTGGTCTTGAACTCCTGACCTAAAGTGATCTGCTCGCCTCAGCCTCCCAATGTGCTGGGATTACAGGTGTGAGCCATTGCACCGGGCCTCTCTAATTTTTTAATTAAAATACGAGAAATAATTTGATCCAACTTTCCATTGCCTGGATGTGAGGACCCCAAGGCCAGAGAGTGGCAGGCTTGGCCCAGACACACAGCCAGTCACTGGCCAACCGGTGAAGGAGTCCCTGTCTTCCCCATACCTCACCCCAGGAGAGGACAGGACTCACATTGCCTTTGCCATAGCAGGGGTTGGAGAAGCCCCCAGGACACTGTGTGCAGTCAGGCCCGAAAAAACCTTTGCAGCAGCCTTGTTCCTATAAGAGACAGAGCAGGTCCAAGAGACCATCTGGGGCCATGCCCTCCCTGCCCAGGCTGCCTCTGCTCCCTGGTCCCATCTCCAGAGGGAGGGAGTGGATAAGGTTTCTTTGGGACCCCTTTTCCACTGTTAGGCTGCAGTGCATCCTCTGAGGAAGGTAGCCCACTCAGCCCCAGCGTGGGGGCCCCCAAGGAGCAACAGGTGCCCAGGTGACCTGGGAGAGGGCGCCCATGCCCATGCTCACCGTGACGGTTTGGTTGCAGTAACTGGCACAGCCCTTCTTTAGCACATTGAGCCCAGTTGGGTCGTGGATGTAGACACACTCCTTGGGGAAGATGTCCTGGGTGGGCCGTGCAAAGCCAGTCAGTGGGTGTGGGTTCTGGGTCAGCCCCTTTGCTAGGCAGCCCTGGTCAAGGGACCTCTGCCCCTTGGGTCCAGAACTCCCACCCTGGTCCAGTAGGGCTGTGAAGCACTGAGCCTGCAGGTCGGATCTAGCCTCCAGGTCGGATCTAGCCTCCCAGCCTCTGCTTCCCCCACCCACCCCTGTAACCCAGGGCAGAAACCTCAACAGGCAGTCAGGAGGCCCTGAGGGCTGGGCCAAGGGGTGCTCACCAGTTTCACACTGTTGTGGGGACACGTGCTGGTGTTCAGGGCTTGGCAGTCCACACAGGAGCCCTGGGTAGGGCAGGGGCGGGATGGGGAGAGGGGTTAGTCATCGTTTATTTACTCGGCAAACCCAGAGAAGGGAACATTGAGTGGGGATTAGGGGATGAGAAAAGCCAACCACGGCCGGGCGCGGTGGCTCAAGCCTGTAATCCCAGCACTTTGGGAGGCCGAGACGGGTGGATCACGAGGTCAGGAGATCGAGACCATCCTGGCTAACACGGTGAAACCCCGTCTCTACTAAAAAAAAAAAAAATACAAAAAAAAAACTAGCCGGGCGAGGTGGCGGGCGCCTGTAGTCCCAGCTACTCGGGAGACTGAGGCAGGAGAATGGCGTAAACCCAGGAGGCGGAGCTTGCAGTGAGCTGAGATCCAGCCACTGCACTCCAGCCTGGGCGACAGAGCGAGACTCCGTCTCAAAAAAAAAAAAAAAAAAAGAGAAAAGCCAACCACAGAAAGCCCAGCACTGGTGTTCCAGGCAGGGAAGAGCAGCGGCAGAGGCCCTGAGCCGGGCAGAGCTAGAGTCTCTGGAAAACAGCAGAGAGGCCAGAGGCAAGCACAGAGTGAGTGAAAGGGGATGAAGTGGTGGAGGGTACAAGAGTTATCTCAGGCCAGGCACAGTGGCTTACACCTGTAATCCCAGCACTTTGGGAGGCCAAGGTGGGAGGATCACCTGAGGTCAGAGGTTCGAGACCAGCCTGACCCACATGGTGAAACCTCATCTCTACTAAAAATACAAAAATTAGCCAGGCATGGTGAGTGCCTGTAATCCCAGCTGCTCAGAAGACTGAGGCAGGAGAATCGCTTGAACCCGGGAGGCGGAGGCCACAGTGATTTGGGATTGTGCCATTGCACTCCAGCCTAGGCAACAGAGCAAGACCCTACTTCACAAAAAAAAAAAAAAAAAAAAAAAAAAAAAAACTCAAAGATGGAATCATAGTCCTGGTTAGGGTGAGTGTGGGGGAAGCACAGGTGGGTCCTTGGGAGTCTCCCACAGGGCCTCAGAGCCAGCGTCAGCCCAGCCCTGACTTGACGCCTCTCCCTGGGAAAAGGATCGCCGCTCCAGCGCTGACGAGGGTTAGTGAGCAGGGTCCTGGCTGTGCAGGCGAGGCTCACCGCCACGATCTTGTGCTGCTCCTCGCTGCAGTGCTTGGGCAGGATGGGCAGGATGGTCGGGGGCAGCAGGATGCCGTCCAGCATGTGGATCACGCCATTGGCAGCCAGCACGTCTACCCTCTGCAGTGGGACTCCCTCAGGTCCCAGCAGGATGCGCCCCTGCGGCAGAGACCCACTGTGCCAACCCCCAGCCTGGCTGACCTCGGCCCAGTGGGGCTGCCCGCCTCCACCCCTGCAGCCCAGTTAGAGCAAACAGGCAGCTCAGTGAGATGCTGAAGTTCCCGCCTGCCATGCCAGCCACCTCTCCCTCAGCTCTGGCCAACGACACTGCTCCAGCCTCCGGACCCTTACTCACATGGCTTCTGCCACATGGGGCAGCCCTACTGTGTGTTCCACGCTCCTCTTTGGATACTCCCCCTTAACCCTCATTGGGCTCCAGCAAAGGAATTTGATCTCTGCCTGCTTCCTTCCCCATGGCCCCACCAGGGCCTAGCAGTCTCCTGCCCACCACGGGACTTGGAGCACACAAGGCTCAGAGGCCAAGTGGGCAGCTGGTCACTGCCAGCCACACCATCCGGCCAGGTGTCCATGCACCTCACCTCCTCAGAGATGTTCACAGCCAGGACCTGGTTCGCCATGGTGAGGATCCGACCTTTGGAGATGAGCTTCTCAACAGTCAGCTGGGGCAAGGGACAGTGTGGCTTTAGGCTGGGCTCTGGCCACACCTTGGGGCCATGCCCTGTCCTGCCCAGGAGGCTCAAAGCCACTGCCTTGGTCCCCAGGCTCTGTGCTATAGCAGAACAGATGCGAAGGGAGGGGAGATGGAGAAGAGATGGGGCCTCGGGGAAGTCCAGAACCTGCAGGCAGCCCTACTGGGTGCAAGCTGGCCACCCCCCAGAGAAAAGACCTTGCACCTGGCCATGGTTGTAGATATGGTACCGCACCAACTCCTGCAGTTTAGAGAGACCCTGGCAGGGGAGAGAGGGTTTGGCTCCTGGAGGACCTGTGGGGGAGAGTGGAGGTCCTTGTGCCCCCACACCTGCAGCCCCTTCTCCCGCTGAGCTTACCGCTGTGAAGAGGTAGATCAGACGGCCGTCACGCAAGCTGTCCACAGCCTCATTGCTTGGGGCAAAGACTGTGAAGGGCCCAGGTCCGTCCAGGATGGAGGGCAGCCCACAGTTCTGTGGCAGTGCGAGGGAGGCTCAGGGGGCTGCATGGCCAGCCTCCACCTCTGAGTCCTGCCTGGGCCCTGCCACCTTTGGCCTGCAGGAAACTCCCACTGAGTAAGTAGGAGACATGGGCAATGGGTCTGTGCTACCACAGAACCTCAGGCTTGAGGATGGGGGCATGGGCAGAGGTCACGCTACTTCAGAACCCCAGGTCACTGTGGGGCAGAATCTGGGATAATGAGTCCTGGCCCAGAAGCCCAGAAGGCCACATGAGCTAGGGCCCCTCCCCCGAGCTTACCTCCAGGATGGTTTCAAAGCGGCTGAAGGCCTCGGTAGCGGCGAGGATCTGACCAATAGTTCTCTGTAAGGAGGGATGAGTGTGAGGGCCCCAGGGAAGGGGGTGAGGCTGCTTCAGCCCTGGGGGAGAAGCTACGCTCCAGCCCTGAGCAGAATGGCTCCTGCCCACTCACTGCTCTCTGCCCACTCACGCGCTCTGCAGGGGTCTGAGGCCACCCAGCATCACGGGGGAGGGGAAGGGAGGATGCTGGCTCACCTTGGGATCCCCTGGGGTCCCAGAGGGGGGCTGCCACCGCAGGCCAGTGACCACGTGGAAGACGCCATTGGCTGCTATGTTGTTGGCCTTGTAGATGTTGAACGTCTGCTGGGGCTGGTCTTTGTACTTGTAGGAGTATTTCTGGTGAGACACAGAGATCTGGCCAGATCCCATATGCCAGCCCCCTGTCCCAAGGCTCCCTCCCACCTGCACACCCTTGCCAGGCTGTGACTCCTCTTGTTCCCAGGCTGAGGCTTCTCCCTCACCGTGAATTGGTTGAAGGTGACGGTTATCTCCTGCCCGGCCAGCGTCCACCACTTTCGTGTTTGTTGGGTCCTTGTGTCCTCCAGGATGTGCTGCCCTGCGATGATGTGCTGTCTGCAGAGCTGCTGGGCAAGGGATGCCTGCACATACAAGGCAGGGAGCCAAGTGAGCGGTGGGGAGGGCCGTCTTCTTCACGCCACCCCTGCCCAAGCAATGGAGGGGACAGGATGCCTCCTAGGCCCTGATGCCTTCCAGGTTCTCAGGCCCTGGAGACTGGGGCGGCATCCAGGGGAGGAGGTGAGGGCCGGTGGCCAGCTCCACCATGGGGAGGGGCTTACGTTCATGGTCCTGGAGGAGAAGGAGGAGATGGATGGCACCAGCACGGTGAACGGGCCTGCTGTGGTGAGGATCTCCCGGCAGCCTTGGTCTGGGGGGGTAGGGCGAGGGAGTATCAGAAGGGAGTTGGGGAGACCCGGGGAGTCTCAGGAGACCCTCGGGCATCAGTCCTGGTGTGAGGGAGTTGGGGTGGGGGTATTCGGCCTAGATTTAGGATAGATGGGGGCCTCAAGGTTGAAGAGCAGCTCCCCCACCCCCTGCATGCACCCCCCACAGTTTGCTGTTTGTTCCCACAGCTCTGGGGCAGAGAAACCAGAATCTGCAGAGGCAGCCCCTCCCTCCCTGCCAGCTGTGCTGTGGGTGAGGGGTGGGGTCATGGGCAAGCAGTGGGGGTCACACACCCATCATGGCCACAGCGACCCTCAGCTGCAGGAACACCCGGCCGGTCTGAGTAGCCTTCTGCACCTCGTGGAGCAGGTGTCCGTAGCAGGCACGCCCATCCCCCACCTCACTCTCCCTGCACACACAGCTAGGGGCCCAGGGAGAGCCAGTCAGGGTGGAGGCTGCAGCCCCCGCACCCGACGCATCCCCAAAGCGGGTATGCTTGCCCAACCCACTGCCTCTGCTCCAAGGCCCCTGTGCTTACCTGGTCTTCCCATCAGCGGTCACCTGGCAGGTGGCAGACCGGTCACAGGAGAAGGGGGAGCAGAAGGCGAAGCAGCCCGCAGAGGCATTGCTGTTGATGCTGACCAGGCCTGGCCGGCAGGTGCAGAAGGCCTGGCCCCCGACAGGGTGGGAGGGGAACATCACGTCCAACCCCAAGAACCACTGGTGTCTGCCCTATCCACAGAGCCCTGCTCAGCCCCTCCCCAAAGAGGACCATTATTCTCTCCCCATTTTACAAATGGGGAAACCGAGGCTACAAGAAGGCCTGTGACTTGCCCAGGGTCCCACAGCCAGTGTGAGCGGGTGCACTGTGGGGGCGGTTCTGGTCTGGGACCCTGGCTCACCTGGCCTGGCTTCTGGTACACACACAAGGTAGAGTTGCTGGGGCAGCCACCAAGGTTGTCAGTGCATGGGTCCTTGGGCAGACACACTATCCCATCGCCATGGTAGTTGTCGGAGCAGTGACACTGAGCCTGCCCCTTGGGGCTCACCGAGCACAGGGCCAGCGGTGAACAGGGTGACGGCCAGCAGGGGTTGGGGGCTGCCAGGGCAGAGAGAGCGCCCAAGTGAGCCAAGCACCCAGGAGCCCTGTCTCTGCCACAGCTTTCACCAGGAAGGCCGGGGCCAGCAGGTTGACCTAGGCCTTGAGAATAGGCTCCCCTTAGGGATGGCTCTCCTTCCTATACGTTGCACTTACTGGGTTAAAGGATGCTTTCCCAGCCCCTGCCCACCCTGAGCTGAAGTCCCTGGCCTCTGAGTCCAGGCTCACCTCGGCATTCACTGCCCTGCTGCGTGTAGCCGGGCAGGCACTTGCAGCTGGGGGCCTCTGCGGAGCACTGGGTGTTTTGGGGACAGCGCAGCTCCTGGCAGATGGGCAGCTCTGAGCAGAGTGGGGAGAGCACGGATGAGCCCAAGTCCAGGCTGGGGAGAAACACAGGGGCAAAGGGGCCCTGCCTGTTCTCTGTGACTCAGAGCAGGGCCCTGCCCTTGCTGGGCCTCTGGACAGTGGAGGTCTCAGATGACACCCCTTCTCCAACTAGGCTCCAGGCAGAGGTCCTGCTGAGGTTCAGGCCCCATCCTCACCCAGTCGGCCTCTTTTGCTCTGGCCACAGGGACCTGCTGCCCTAGGCTGTCCCAGTGGCACTGCTCACCTTGATCACAGTGAGGGCCAGTGTATCCAGCAAAGCACAGGCAGCTTCCATCCCCACGTGGCCCACGGTTGCACACGCCGTGCACACAGCTGCACACTGGGAGGGATACACAGAGACAGATGGGACCCCAGCCTCTCCTAGGCACACACCGGGACATTGGGTCCCTGCTCTCTGTATTTTTAGAACTCAGCTCGGGCAGGTACAACCTTAAGAGTACAGAGCTGTGATGCAGGAACACAGGGGTGGTGGGAGCCCACAGAAGGCACTGACCCAGCCTGGGGCTCACTGAGGGCTTCCTGGAGAAGGCTTCTCAGGGGAGTAGCATGTGCAAAGGGCTGGAGGTGTGACAAAACAAAGCACATGTTCCTGAAAGGGATGTGCACATCTGAGGGGCTGGGACAGAGGCTGAAGTGACAGGTGGGAGCTGGTTGTAGGGAATGCATCTGCATGGGCCCCCAGGTGGATGCTGGCCCTGCCCTCTTGCCTTGTAAGCACTCACCCGATTGGCAGTCAGGCCCAAACCGGTTGGGGTCTTGGCACTCCTGGCAGGCTGAGCCGCGGAAGTTTTCCTGGTGGTGGAGGCACCAAGTCAGCGTGGCCCCTCTGAGCCTCCACCCTACCCTGGCCAGCCCTTACCTGGCACACGCAGGTCCCATTCCTGTCCATGCCATCCAAGCAGGTCCCGTGGCCATTGCATGGGGTCTCAGCGCCCCCAGGGCATTCTGTGAACCCCCACAGAACTCAGCTTTATGCCCAGAACCCTCCGCTTACCCTGACCCCAGCAGCTCTGGCCAACCCCAGACTTGGCCCTTCCCCCAGGGCAGCAAGAGCGAGGGGGCCAAGCCTTGGAGGCGCTCAGTGAGTTCATTAAATGAACATGTTGAAGGGGAATGCAGGTGGCTCCTGCAGAGGGCTTGCCCAGAGCTGGGGCTGGGTGTGAGGAGCGAGGCGGGATCCCACTTTCTCCCATACCATAGCACCGGGAACCCCAGTAGCCAGGGCAGCAGGCCTTCTGCACCACTTGCTTCCGGCATTTCCGTCTGCAGCCGCTCATGGACACCATAGAGCCCCCCAGCTGTACTTCGTAGCTGGGGGCAGAGGGTGGGCAGGGTGACGGAAAAGGCTCCCACGCACAGCCCCCACCCCGCCTCCCCATATTGGCTTCTGGGGCTCCCACCCACCTCCCTGCTCTGACTGGCCCAGGTGAGCAGAGGGCCTAGCACATAGCAGGTACCCCATAAGCCCCTCCTGCCGCTTGCCTTTACCCCTTCCTCCCCGCCTGTCTCTGCCACCCAGGAGCGGCCACAGGGGCATAGATAAGTGAGTGCTTTTCCTCATTTTGTGGGTCTGTCAAGCTCCTCCAGTCCCTGCCACCCCACAGGACGCTCCTGGACACAGGCAAGGATGGGGTGGCCCTCACCGGCAGTCCTGGGTTATCTGATCTGGGAGCTCCCGAAGCCAGCCTGAGGGACACGTCTGCTTCTTGATGGCTGCGCACGAGGTGCAGGGTACATGAGTGACAAACGTGGTTTTCACATCACAGCCTTTGAACAGCACCTGGGCCACAGGCAAGGTGTGGTCAGGGGCCTGGACCCCACACCCAACCCGACCCTGTCCTCAATAAGGCCTCACACTCCTCCAGCCACCACCTCCCATCTGCTCAGTGGGAACGCAGTGCTGATGGGAAAGCCCTGTGAAAGCTGTCTGTTACAAGTTGTTACTGTCATAGCGAGTCCTTATGTGCCTGGCCCAGAAGGCTCTGAGTCCACAGCCTCTGACACTAGAGAATCTAGCCACATTGTTCCCCCCGCCCATTTCAGGTGAGGAAAATGAAGCCCAGAACATGGCCATTGCCCAGTCTCATCCAGGAACAGGGTGTGAACCAGGGACTAGAACCTGGACTCCCAGCCTAGTGCTCACTTTTGCCTTTTGTTTAAAGATAAAGAAACAATAAATGACAGAGCTGATGCTGTCTTGGAAGGACATGGTAACTCCATCCTCAACTCATGGGCACAGGCACGATGCCGGCTCCAGCCATGCACCGTGGGGCTGGACCTCCAGCCACCACTCTGCTCTGAGCACTTTCCCACGTTGCTACCAAATGACCCTCTCTAACCAAGCGCAAGGGTTTTCTCCGCTGCCCAGAGGTCAGAGACTAAGGGCCCCGGCCCTGAGAGGCTGGGCTCACATGAACAGCTGTGTGCAGGGGCTCTGGTCTGCATGTGTTTGGGCTGGGCAGTCCCAGGGGACAATGGGCCATGCCAGCCTCTAAGGAAACCCAGGGCATCCTGGCTGGGGCCCCAGGTGGCTTCCTGAGGGAGGTGATCATTGACTTGGGACCTGAAGGATGCATGAGAGTTGGTAAGGGACAGTGCTCCTGGCCTAGGGGACAGCAGAAGCAAAGACTGGGAGCAGAAAGAAGTAAAAACAAACGTGTGACAAGGCAGGCAGTGGCCTGAGGGGAGGCTGGAGAGGGGCTGGCAGCTGGCATGCAGGAGCTCCGTAAACCTGCACGCCAGGTTGCCTAGGTGAGGCAGAGTCCAGGGCAGCCCCATGACTCAGTTTATGGTTTTTTGTTTGTCTTTGAGAAAGGGTCTCGCTCTGTTGCCCTGGCTGGAGTGTAGTGGTGTGACCATAGCTCACTGTTAATCTTGAACTCCTGGGCTCAGGCGATTCTCCTGCCTCAGCCTCCCAAGTAGCTGGGACTACAGGCATGTGCCACTGTGCCTGGCCAGTTTGTTTTAAATTGGCCCTCTGGCTGCTGCCTGGGGAATAGAGTTGTGGGGGCAGGTGTAGGTGGGAAAGAGGCCATCATCACCTGCAGGTGGCTTGGGCCAAGGCAGGAATGGTGGAAATGGATTGGGAGATACTTGAGAGGGCTTGGGGTGGTGAGATGAATTGGGAGAAGGTCTCAGCAACTGGGTGGGGCATGAAAGATGTGAGGAGTCCAGCCTGCCACCACGGCATGGGCACAAGGATGCTGACAAAAGTCCCAGGCCTGGAGTCCCATTCACTGGCCTGCCATAGCTCCTGGAAGTCCACCAGCCTTCTATGGCGACAAAGTCCCAGTAACCTTCAGCACTGAACCCAGGAGGCGTGAAGCTAAACTCCCAGTTCTAGTGGGAGGAAGGTGCATAGGGAAGGGCATAGAGTGGAGGGAGGTGTTTGGGAGGCTTAGGGCATGGCCCGGAGAAGCAGTGATGTTCTCATCTTGAAAAACGCTGACCACACTGTGGTCCAAAAGGAGTGACCCCAGAACATCCCTTTCCTGGAATAATTAACAGATGTGTGGCTTCTCAAAGCAAGAGAAAAGGAGAAATGGTGCCCCTGACACTTTATTATGGCAAATGCCAGGGCCCCAGAGCCTCTGTGCTACCGTGATTTGGCCTTTTCCGCTCATGCCTCTGCGGTCTGCAAACAGGGAAGTTGCTCAGAGCAGCCTGTGTCAAGTGGTGGAGCTGGGATGTTGTGGTCTCGTTCCCCGTCCTGAGGCTTGCCTTTGCTGAGCCAGGGGGAGACTAGGAAATTGGGTAACTTGAGGGCTGAGCAGCTGCTGGCTCAGGGCAGAGGCTTGGCAGGAGATAGGCTCCCCTCAAAGCCACCTGGCCAGCTGAGCAAAGCTGCCAGCACGGTCACCATTCTGGCTGTGGACCAGCTCTTGGAGGAATGGGGGTCAGCTCTGGATAAGGGCTCAGGCTGAGTAAGACTGTGCTGGTCACACTCTGAGACAGTCAGGACTAGATGGAGTGATGGGTGAGTTGGGGCCCAGAAGGAAGCGGGAGCTTTGGGGCCTGGTGTGGACACTTGCTCACAGGACCTGGGTATTTGTAAACATGTGTAAAATGCTGATGAAGGGTAAGCTGGCTGCCACATCAGTGCTTCTCCAAGACCACAGCCGAGGGGCCCTGCCTCTGCCCCATGGTCTGGAAGGAGCATCGGCGGTCTGAGCCCACATCTTGCCGTTGGTCCAGCTGGGTGGAGTGAGGCTGGATCAGGGCCTAGGTGCTGAGTCAGATTCCCTCCTTCCTGGGGGCATCTCGGGACTGAGCCAGAGCGGGTGCTGTCTCCCCCCACCCCACACCCCCCGCAGACCTGATTTTGCAATGTCTGCTTCCCACAGAGCTGCTGCTAGGGGAAGTTGAGGAGACACAAAGTGTGAAGTCTTTGGTGAGAAGGTGGATGAAGTTCTCCCAAGCTGGGACCTGGCTCATGGGGACTTTTTAAGGCTGAGAGCCCAGAATCCAAACCCTGTCAGAGAGGAAGGAACCCCAAATTTCTTCCCCCTACCTTCAGTCAGATCAGGGAGGGCGCAGGCTGGGTTCTGGACCGTGCTCCTCTCCCACCACAGGTTCCACTGCACATGCCTAGCCGCGTGCCCTCAGTGAAAAGCTGCTGAATGGGCAAGTGCTAAGGGCCTTCCTGGAAAGCTTTCCTGCCTTGCTGCCCAAATTCATCTGCACTCCAGTCCTGTTGCTGCCCTTACTGAACAGGTGACCCAGGACATCCCTTCCCCTCAGAGCTTCCACTCCTAATACAGTTGTTCCTTGGTGTCTGTGGGGGACTGGTTCCAGGATGCTCAAGTCCCTGATATAAAATGGAATTGAGGCTGGGAGTGGTGGCTCACATCTGTAATCCCAGCACTTTGGGAGGCCGAAGAGGGTAGATCACCTGAGATCGGGAGTTCAAGACCAGCCTGGCTAATGTGGAGAACTCCGTCTCTAATAAAAACACAAAAATTAGCTGGGTGTGGTGGTGTGCGCCTGTAATCCCAGCTAGTTGGGAGGCTGAGGCAGGAGAATCACTTGAATCTGGGAGGTGGAGGTTGCAGTGAGCTGAGATTGCGCCACTGCACTCCAGCCTGGGTGACAGAGCGAGACACCATCTCAAAAAAAAAAAAAAAAAAAAGGCATCAAATTTACATATAATCTATGCACATCCTCCCGTATACCTTAAGTCATCCTTAGATGACTTATAATACCGAATACAATGTAAATGCTATGTACATAGAAAACTCTGAACATGGGGCTGGGTGTGGTGGCTCACACCTGTAGTCCCAGCACTTTGGGAGGCTGAGGCAGGTGGATTACCTGAGGTCTGGAGTTAGAGACCAGCCTGGCCAACATGGCGAAACCCCGTCTCTACTAAAAATTCAAAAATTACCTGGGTGTAGTGGCAGGCACCTGTAATCCCAGCTACTTGGGAGGCTGAGGCAGGAGAATCGCCTGAACCCGGGAGGCAGAGGTTGCAGTGAGCCGAGATTGAACTACTGCCCTCCAACCTGGGCAACAGAGTGAGACTCCATCTCAAAAAAAAAGTCTGAACATGTTCAGTAGATATGCCACCTTTTTTTCCTGAATATTTCCTTTTTTTTTTTTTTTTTTTTTTTTTTGAGATGGAGTCTCACTCTGTCACCCAGGCTGGAGTGCAGTGGCACGATCTCAGCTCACTGCAAGCTGGGCCTCCCGGGTTCACGCCATTCTCCTGCCTCAGCCTCCCGAGTGGCTGGGACTACAGGCGCCCGCCACTGCGCCTGGCTAATTTTTTGTATTTTTAGTAGAGACGGGGTTTCACCGTGGTCTCGATCTCCTGACCTTGTGATCCGCCTGCCTCGGCCTCCCAAAGTGCTGGGATTACAGGCTTGAGCCACCACGCCTGGCATCTGAATATTTTCAATCCAGAGCTGGTTGAACCCAAGTACAGGGTGCACAGATACAGAGGGCCAACTGCATTTACCATGAATCTTAGCTACGCAGGGTGCTGGAATAGAGGCCAGGTGGCTGTGTTAGAGTGGCCAGCACTGCTGCAGCCCCATCCACAAGGAGTAGTCACAGCCATAGGTCTCTGACAAGGAAAAAACTCTAATCTGAGGCCCCTCACTGACCTCTGTCCTCACTGCCCAGAGCATGAGGAGGTGGCAGAGGCCTTTGAAATTCCCTTGCATGGTACACAGGGCAAAACTGAGTTAAGGGGAGGGCAGGAGCTCACCTGCAGGGCTCTCAGCACAGCCCTGGAGCCCTTGGCTCTTCCCCCATCACTGTCACCTTCTCAGCCTCATATCTTCCTGTCCCCAGCCCTGGCCTGGTCCTGAAGCTGGTGAGGCCACTCTCCCTGCTGCCTCTCGGAGGGACCACAGGCATCCAAGAGAAAGCGCCTGATGGTGGCAGGGGGTCTGGGTCCCTTGCTGGAGTGCCTGTGGGATCCTGGGCAAGTCCTCACCTCTCTGGACTTTGGTCTGCCCATCAGTGCCATGGGGATGGTGGTAGCTGCCCCAAGAGGCAGACACGCTGGGCCTCACAGGAGACAAACTACCCCATCACCAGGGTGGGAGGCTCTTTCAGAAGCTCCCGGAGGCCCCTACCGTGGGGCCTGAGCAGACCTGCAGCCAGGAGCCTGTCACAGGGACCTGACTGAGGGGCTGGCCATGGCTGCATACCGGGACCCTGTCTGCTCGCCAGCATAAACGGACGGCCATCACAGGCAGGGGTTTGGAACATGGCTTCAGAGTGGGAATGGCCTGTTCCCGTCATCCTAGGGCTTTGGCTTCCTCATGAGGACAGAAGGAGTTGCCCCACGGCTGTGAGGATTCAACGGGACCTGTCCGGGGCTGTGGCAGCTCTGAGGCTGAAGTGTGTCCTTGCCAGCTGCTCATAACCCCGGGCACTGGGGGTGAGTGACTCATTCTGCTTCCCAGTACTCTTGGGGCTGGACACAGGCACACACGTGCACACACGTGCCCCATGTGAATCTGTAGTCCTCGGGGGTTAGAGGGGATCACATCTTCAACCCCCAGGTGAGGGCCACGTAAGACCTGGGCCTCCGTCTGGGCCAGAAGGGTGGGACGGGCCTGCCTCTGTACCCTTCAGCCGCAGGCTAGGGAGCCCTGGCCCAGCATAGTCAGAGAAGGGCAGGCTGACACGCCCCTGAACCCTGGGTGGCTGGGTGCAGACCTCAGCCTGGGGAGGTGGGCACAATAGCCAGCCCCCAGGCCTGCCCAGAGACCAGACAAGGCGCCAGCTGTGGTTTCTCCCCAGGCCCATGCCCCTCCACGTCCAGTCCCTCCCTGTTCCCACCACCAGCTGGCAGGGCCCAGACACCGTGTGCCCCTGCGACTGGCTCACACTTACCTGCCCCCTGATGAAGACTGCCAGGCAGAAGGCCAGGAGGCAGAGCGGGAGGAGGCCCTGGGGCCCCGCCATGGCTGGTGGGCACGCTGTCCAGGACAGAGTCAGGGCAGCTGGTGGCGTAGGGAATGAGCTCCAGGAGGCAGGCACAGCACAGGCAGGCAGGACGGGGCGGGCAGTGGCCTTAAAAGCAGCCCGGAGGCCCCGCCAGCTCACCCCCACAGGAACCCGCCAGGATTTCCTCCTGCGTATCAGCAGCCTGCAGGCGGAAGGGAAGGTGCTGGCCACTGACCCCCCATGGATGGCCTGAGCCCTGCTCAGGGCTTCCCGGCCGGGACCCTCCTGGCATCACAACCTGGAAGCCCAGGCCACATGAACCCCAGGACCTGGGCTCTATCAGAGGTTCTGAAGCAAATCCAAAGGCACACGTGAGCGACTCCCCCGCCTGCGAGTCCAGTGTGTTTCATCCAGAGACTCTGGGGGTTCTGGTCGGTGGAAGGCAGGGCACCCCTGAATGAGTCTGTCTGTTCCTGCCTCCATCTTTCCAGCTCCAAGGTGCTCATGGGGCTCTGACTCGCTACAGGCACCTTGCTAGCCCACCAGACCTGCATCCCCTCACCAGCCCCAGCTACTCCCAAGCAGCTGGTCCTGCCTGCCAACCCCCATCCACCCTCCCTCCTTCCCTATCTGCCCCCCACTCAGCAGCCCATGCTCAGCCAGCTTGCTGCAGCACCTCCAAACCCCACTCCAGCCTGCTGGTCTCTCTGGACTCTCCCCAGCCAGGTGTGCTCCAGCCGCACAGGCCTCTCTGCTCCTTCAGTGAGCTCCCCCGTCATGTGCTGCTACCCCAGATTGTCACACTCTGGCTCCTTCTCACAAGTGCAGTCTCAGGTCAAGGGCCACCACCTCAGAGCGCCTCCCTGGTCTCAGCCTGCAGGTGGCCCTGTACCTGGTTCACCTCCTGGCAGCACGGGCCACCAGCTGGCATTGGCTTGTTCCATTTGTCTCCCCTGGAACATTAGCTGTGGGAGAGTAGGGGCGCTGTCTGGCTGGTTCGTACGGTAGATGCTCAGTACACACGTGCAGAAGGAATAAATGAATGGAGGTGGCTACTTTTATGATCCCTCTGCTACTGGTGAGGAAACTGAGGCTCAGAGGGGCTGGGTAGCTTTTCCGAGGTAATCAGTTTTCAAATCCAATCCCAGGGCTACTGCCTGTGAAGCCACCGCTGCCTGCACAGCCAGCACCCCCAGGAGGTGCAGTGGGCCCAGGCTGAGGGCCTCTGCGTGCCAGGGCTGCACGTGGTGGGCCTTGCCTCCAGTTGTCACTACCCCCAACTGCAGATGGTGTAACAGCTGGGGAGACAGGAGTGGGCCAGAGCCCGGTGGCCATCTGTAAATGCTTCGGTAAAGGCCGGGTTGGGGAATTTTCTCCTCCCCAGCACACATCCACTCCCATCACTTTGGAGGGGCCTTCAGGCAGGCCTCTGAGATCTGGCTGGGATGGGGGTTGCAAGGGGAGACCTTCCCCCCATTCCCCACACCCACAGTCTTTCTGGGGGTGCAGGGTCCTCCAGGCAGGACCCCCACCCTGCTGGCACCAAGGGAAACTGGGGAGCAGAAGCAGGTCTGGGAGCCAGGCTGGCCACGCCACCCACCTCTCCACAGCCCTGCCTGGCCTAGCGGCCCCAAGGTCCTGGCAGCTGAGGCTCCTGGCTGGGCCAGGATGAATTATGCGGGGCTCATGGGTGCCACTCTGGCAGCAGGAATGGAGTTGGGGAAGAGTGTGGCATGGGGTTGGCTCCCAAAATCCCAGGTCCTACCTCATCAGGCTCCCTGAAGCAACCCTCAGGGAGGGGCCCATGAGCCTGTTTCAGGGACATGAAGACAGACACAGATGGGCATGCGCCCCTCCCTCCACTGTCCACCACCTGGGTCCACCTCCCCACAGGCCTCCCCTGCTGCCATTCAAGGGCCACCTTGGTGAGATGCCCCGGCCCCCACCAGCCATCCCAGACTCTGGGATCTCTGTTCCCCTCGCCCCGCCCCTACTCTCCACAGGGGTTGAGACAGGTGGGGTTAGGCCCTGGGGTGACTGACACACAAGACCTGCAAGACGGCCTGAAGAGGGTGGCATGCCCTGCACTCAGGCAGAGGGGCAGCGGCTGGTGTGGCAGGGGTGCCCTGAGGAGTTTCACAGACTTCTTGTTTGCCCTGGGCTCATGGTTTAGCCACAGCCCAGCATGGCACTGTCCAGAGAGGCCATGGCCCTGTCATGCCTCCCATGTTCCAAGAAGTATCTGGTTCCTGGAGGGCTGCTCCTTCCTTTCCCCCAACCCCTCACCCTCCTGTGTCTCCAGGGCACCCTCTTTCCACCTGCAACCATGCCCCAGAGGGAAGCCCTGCTGGGATCCCAATGACCCTTGATTTAGAAGATGCAAACGGTGTCAAACTCTGCTTTATTGGAATAGAGAATACAGGCAGCAGGAATCACACTTGGTGCTGGCAGCTCCAGGTCCCCTGCCCCCACGGGCTCTCCCATTTGTCTGGATCAGGGGAGACCTCCACTTTGAAGAACAATATGGGGTGGGAGCTTCCAATGTGCATTCTGCTACCAGCCTCAGGATTAGCAGCAAGATGCCCATAACGACAGCAACAGCAACAAAGGACTGGACTCAACATTTCAAGAAAGGATGTGTAGAAGACAAAGTCAGACCCACAGCATCACGTGTTAACAACAGTCCCACAACAGCAGACACGACACAGGTGTGCACGGCCGTGCCACCTGCAGGAGGCTGACAGCACACCGACAGCCCTGGAGACGCCCGGCATCCTCACTCCCAACATGAGAAAGAACTAACACAACACACACACGTTCACATTCTCTGTGAGGACAGTCAAATTAAGGTACCAAAGGGAGGAGAAAACATTTTAAGAGAACACAAAAGCCTGCTGCCCTGCCCCAGTAGGCACCAGGCTAGACATGGCAGGCGGTGATGGCTGGCTGTGGCCTGGGCTAGCCGGTGAGCTCGACAGGCAGCTCACGGCCACACAGGGCCTCCCACTGGCGAGCCAGCAGCGAGATGAGCTTCTCTCGGCTCTCGGCACTGGGGACAAACACCTGCCACTGGACTTCACGGCCCTGGCCGGCTCTAGCTGGGCCACCTGGCACCTCCCCAAAGTGGTCCAGGGTGACACTGCCCATGAGGTCATGACCTTGCACATCATCAAAGACGAGGGTGAGGGCCTGTGGGTAGGTCTGGTAGCCCATGAGCACTCGGTCCAGGTCCCGGACACGGCGGCCATCGTCCAGCCGGTACCTGTCTCTCTGCGGCGGTTCTTTGGCAAACTCGGGCAGCGGGTAATGGATACAGTCCTCATCCAGGAGGAAGATCTCAGAGCTGGTGAGCAGGAGTGTCTTGGGGCGCAGGGGGCCCCTGCAGCACCCAGGGGGCGGCATGCCCACCTGGAAGGCCTGCACATACAGCAGGATGCTGAGGGCTGGGGCCTTCTCTGGCTCAGCCATCTTTTGGGCCACAATGAACGTCAGGTCCCCAATCTCCTCCTCACTGGGGTAGGTGAACTTGACACGACTAGAGTGGATCAGCTCATAGTTCTCCATCTTCCCTGCAGAGAGATGCCACCAAGGCTGTAGCCTGGAACCGGCCCCTGGTGGGGCTGGGAGCACCAAGGGCCCCAAGTCAACTGAGAGACCCCAGCATGAGAGAGGCAGGAGAGGATGCTCCAAGTATGGGGCCCACAGGCCAGGAGCCCAGAGCAGGCACCAGAGATGTGTCTGCCAGATGGCTGAGGGACTGCTGGGGTGGAGACTCTGCCATCAAAAAGCCCCACATAAAACCCTGGCCAGCTAAGTGAGAAAAGAGAGATAGAAGCAGAGAGGGTTCTGGGGCACAGAGAGCCACCCTGGGGCCTGTGATGTCTGTCCAGGCAGCCTGTCTGCAGCCTGAGCTAGACAGGGGTACCTGTGGTCTTGTTCCCAAACTCGGAGTAGAAGTCCTTGTCAACAGGCTCTGGTGAGGGCGTGCGTTCCAGAGAGGACAGCACGACCATGAGGTGCTGGAGGAAGCAGTGCGTCAGGTAGCTGTCCCGCGTCAAGCACGTGACCACCTGCACTGGGGTGGAACCTGCACGAAAGGGGATGGTCAGGGCCATAGGCCACTGCTCCCCAGCCCTATCCCTGCCACTGACAGCCACCCTGAGTCCCTAGCAAGCCTCAGCCCAGAGGCCAGCACCAGGAGGGCCCACGTAGGAAAGCATCATGGAGCCCTGGGAAGTGGCCGTTCCTTCAGGCCGGAAGAGCTTAGGCATTTTTCTGGAAGGGGAGACAGAGGCATTAGGCAAAGAGCTTAGCTTTCTCTCCCCAGGAAGTGTGAGTCAGAAACATCCTGCCCAAGACCAGGGCCCACTCTGCTTCTGTCCGGGCCAGTGCTTGCCGCACACCCTGCCTCCTGCTCTGAGCCCGGGAGCATGAGTTCTGCTCTCTCAGCAGTTCCTGAAGCTGCTTCCTCCCGCCCCGGGTAAGAAGCGGCTCTTGAGCACAGAGATAACTGTCTATGATAACCCACCCCCATATGGAAGGTGGAAGCCCACTGGTGATGCTGGCCTTCACCTGAAATAGGACAAAGCACAGAGGGTCACTCACCCGTCAGCCGGAAATGCTGGTCGAAAAGCCCCACATTGACGGACTGCAGGTCACTAAGCTTTAGCACAAAGCACTGGGAGATGTGGAAGGGGCTGTTGTTGTAGTCGGTGTTTTTCTGATGCCAGAAATCTGTGTGATGGAGAAAGGGACAGAGGGAGGCGGTGGCAGGCAAGCACAAGGGTCCTAGGTGTGCAACACGTCCAGCAGGAACAGGTCCTCTTGGTTGGCCTGGCCAGGCCTGGCAAGGAGCTATTCCCGCTTCCACCCACGCAAGGCCCCATAGGCAATGCTGTCTGGAGTCTGAGCCTCACCCAGCTCAGGGGAGTCACCACGTCATTGACTAAGGCTTCCTGTGCGGCCCCAGGGGCAGAGGCTGCCTGACCCCTTCTCATCAGGGGCCGTTCCCAAGCAGTCGCCGGCCCCTGGCTCAGTGCATTCTGCGTTCACATCTGGCCATGGACCCCTCCTTCATGACAGCTCCCCTTCCTCAGACAAGCAACTCTCAGCCCACTGCAGCCAAGTCACTG